TATATATATAGAAAGAAGATATTAGTGCACTATTTGAAGATGGTATTGACCTTTATTCACCTTCGAAGAATCCTTTGATGGAAAATAGTTCTCCCATCAAACTATCTGGAATGGATGTTTTGTTGAATTATTTTGATGAGGTGGTAATATCTTCCTTAAAATACCTCCGTCGCTCCAATTGTCCTGCCAAATGAAAGTTCTGCTTTCATCTCTGGTGACGATAGAAGAGAATCTTTTAAAGGTGACTCCAATTAGCTATTTTTCTCCTGGAGGGTTTGCTGTTATTTATGTAGGTTGAATCTTGAATCTACAAATCTCTTTATATGTATCTTCTGGAGGTTTGCTGTAATATTTGACTCAATTCTACATTCAGTTGTTACTTCAACTATGCTGCTTCACTCTCTACGTGCCTGATTGCAATGTTTAGATTTTAATTTCTTAATTTCTTCTCGATAGGGTATCTGCCTGATGATAACAGTCTTGCAGGTGGCCCGATTACCTAATATTAAGGTATACCAAGAAGTTCATCTATTTGATTGTTCATATATTGCTTCAAAGCCCTTATATTCTTAATTATCTCAGGTAGCAACAGTACTGCTTTGCTGTGCATTTATCTATGACATCTTCTGGGTGTTCATATCACCAGCACTATTTAACGAGAGTGTAATGATTGCGGTAAGTAATTATTTAATTTTGTGTATTTACTCTGAAGTTTGTTTCAAATCTAATTCTAAGTTACGTGTTGATATATACTCATCTTTAAATATTCTTTGATTCCTTTTGAACCAAAATTTTGATAATAAAGCCTTGACCGCATTAACCTAGATTAAATGGGCCTTTGAGGGAAGGAGGCATGAAAAGCTGCAGCATATTAATTTTGGAATCTTTTGAAAGCCCAAAAAGATAAAAGGATCCAAGGTTGATCAATGGATTTCTCTTCTGGTAAGACTCTCCTATTTCTTTCTAGCCAAAATATCCACAAAATATGGTTTTGGTGCACCAAGGATTGACCACGAAAAATTTGGATAGATAAAGCATTGGTGGAATCACATTGCACCCAATTCAGATGAAAAGCATCTACAATTTTGTTCACAGGGAGCTGAAGAAGGGGCAATGGAAATGGATGGTTATCTGTTCTCTGAACCTCTTTTGCATGAAGCTCACCCGTGCAGGCTGAAGGCAAAAGAAGGGTTAACTTTCTGAACCCTATCCATAGTATTTAACCCTCAAAGAGTGAGGGCCAGATAAAGACATTATATTTTTAGGACCTTACTGTTCCATAAAGCCTTAAAGTGCGAAGGGCTGCATTAGGTTACCTTTAGTGATTCTAATGATAAGAGATTTCACCGAAAATTTCTCATTAATTTTCCAAATTTCATGTTCCCTATCCTTGACATTATAGAGGTGAATGGAGTTGAGGGAAGCCAAAGATTTTCCCACTCACAATCTCTCTCGTGAGGAGAGTTCCAAGAGGGATGGACCAAACTAACACCTCGTGATTCCAACTTTAGAAGTTCTACATTTTGTGTTGGCTGCAAGTCTGAGAAGTCTTGACTGACATTATTTTTTCCAGTTGGCTGGTTTCCCATGGATTCCCTCTTTGACATATCTTGGGTTTTTAGCTGTGTGCACACCATGGTCGTCCTCTGTGAGGTTTGCTATCATCATATGATTGAGAATTTTCCCGAGTTGCAAAAGCTAGGATCATTTGGGAAATTTGAGTGAGTAGTGAGTGCAAATCCATTTTGAGCAAGATGATGTTCTGTTGACCCCAACATTACTTGTTTTGGGCTTATTCCTCATAAAACACTACTCGAAGACAAGGTAGTGGTTTAGTACCAATAATCGACCGCAGACTTCATCAAGAAATTTATTGAGGCTCGTAAGAATTTTGAAGGACCTTTGTCTCCACCATTTTATGGAAGACAAAGATGTCCTCGTAATGTTTCTATTTGTGAGTTCCAAACAAGTTGAGTTGCCAATAATGAGATAAAGTGATATAATAATTTGTTATAGATGATTCACCTTGTTTGAGATCTTGTAGTGTAGTTTCTATTTGGAAGAGCTCAGCAGTGCTTCCTTGATTGGAGAGCGTGTCATGAGCTGCTAAATTTCTTTGGTGGTGGAACGTAATAAGAATTTCTCTCCAATCTCAGTTATCATTGTGTTGAATAAGCAGCTGATAACTTGATTCTTCCCAGCCCTCCATATTAAAAAATTTTGATCTTTGAGTCTGGGTGGATTGTCATAACCAATGAAGTGGTCTTCCCATCCTCGACCATACATAAACATTATTGCAGATTGGGACTATTGAAGATAGTTGTGGCTGTTGAACTTGTGACATGTCACTAGAGTAATGTTTCTCTTAGTGGACGATAGAAATATCTGAGGAATATCAACACTTGAATATTAAATCAGAAGAGGAAAAAAGTCAATGTTGGGAAGAAAGGCGGTGCGAGTAGAGGTGGCGATGAATGGCAGCGTTGGCAGCAGTGAAAAATTTTTTATTGGAAAATAAAATAAAAATACTTGATAATGTAATTTCTTATTGTTTCACGAGGCACGTTGTTTAAATAATATTTTTTAAGGGGTTAGTCGTATGTCTCATGCAATTGCTTTCAACTTCCAAAGTTAATTGATAATTCTACCTAGGGTATGTTTAGCAGGATGAATGGAATTATATTTATCCAGTTATTTATGGCGAGGGGCAAGGCGTTTGGGACCTCCTACACCTTGAATGCAGCCATGGTGAGGGCCTTCAACCTGGTGTGACATCAGGCGACGCCTGTTTATAGGTGGTGTCTCTCAGTATTAAAAAAAAAGGTTTAAAGAACCTAAACGCTAAAAGGTTGCACCCATCACCTTCCTCCATCTTTTGCCAACGGCTTCTTTGTGGAATGAGAAGAAAAGAATAAAAGGGAAGAAGCAGAGTCGAAATAAGTAGATAGAAGAAAAATCAAAGTGGAAAAGGAGGAAGAATGGAAGAGAAGAAGAGTGAAAGGAAGAAGAGTTGAAATTAAAAAGAAGAATATTCGGATGGAAGAGAAGAAGAATAAGAGAAGATGGGGAAAAGCAGAAGGCAGAATAATGAACATACATTTTCAAGAAACATTAAATGAGGGCTACTGCATGGTATCTCATTTTCAAGAAGCATCAAGTGCTTGTGCCATGCATGGTTTCAAACAGACAGATGACAGGGTTGTTGCCAATCGTTTTTTACCATATAAAAAATTTAAAGAACTCTATATATTTTTTCTTAATTTATTTAAGTTAACTTTTATTTAAATTTTAAATTATTTTCTTAATGTTTTAATGTTTTAAAAAATGTAAGTTAATATTTTTACCTAGTTATTGATAATAGTCGCCTCTCACCTTGTGGCAAGCAAGAGACTTGTCACTTTAGAGTGCGTCTGGCACTTTTAACACATTGTATTTATCATGCTGGACGTGTTTGTAACTTTCTCAGGTTGCCCGGGGGGACAATAGTGGTGGAGAATCCATGCCGATGCTCTTAAGAGCTCCTCGCCTCTTTGATCCTTGGGGTGGTTACAATATGATTGGATTCGGGGATATACTCTTCCCTGGTTTGCTTGTTTCGTTTAGTCACAGGTACTGATGTCACATACATTACAATGCTTCTATTGTAACGTGGGACAGTTTTTGTAGTATCTCTTGTATTTTTGGCTGTTTTACCTATCTCTTTGAGGAATATAAGGAAGGAAATAGGGAAGGGTGTATTTCTGTGAGTTAAGATGCATGCCATTTAATCTATAAGAAGGAAGGTGCCGTGTGCCATATCTTTCAGTGTCATGTCGTACAAGTTTCTTTGTAGTAATCATCATTCATAATGCACATTTTTTAATAGTTCAATAGAAGTTGAATGATGAGTGGATATTTTTAAAGATTCATTTTTCTCCATTAATTTAAACAATGTCCCTTGTTTTTCAGACCATAGTTTTGGAGATGAACAAATCAGTGAGAATCAAGTTTGGTTTAACTATAAGTGGAAGCTTTCTTAGATTCCATCGTAGAAGTGCTTACTGCCTCTATAAATCTTAATAGTATTGGACCAGAACTATTCACCTTCATTAGATTTTTCTTGTCCCCTTTCTTTTCATTTCCTGAAGATGTGCAATTTCTAATTTGAAGGTGACTGCCAAATCGTCCAAAATGACGAGATACAAAACTATGAAACTAAACACTTTTTCTGTTCACTCAAAGATGCATTGCATGCAAAAGGGTTACTGACGATGCTGAAGGCACTTCTTGTGTCTTTATTTTTGTACTTTAACGTAGTAGGGGCCTATTTTTTAAGTACTGAATATCTAGTATCAGAATTTAGTCATGGATAAATTATCAAGGACAACAGGATAGTTAAGTAGGGTTAAATTGGAATCGACGTTTTCCAAGCTGTAACTGGAACCCTTTTTTTGTGAATGGGGCGAAGATAAGCCAGCATTCAGCCTTCAGTCATTTCATATTCAGCTACCCAGGACTGCATGTAACTTTTTTCTTGATATTGGATGATTGGAACTCTTTTTATCCTATTTCAACCACCATATTGTAACTGTAATTTGTGATATGATTCTTACTTCTCTGGAGTTTTGACAATTATTATTGATAAAAGTAAAACCCTCTTATCTGACGAAAAATAATTAGCATAAAAAAGGAAATAAGGACAAATTTAGTACGCGTTCATACGATTATTGCACATATCATATGTTATTAATGCCATTAAGCTAAAGTTTAACTGCCTAAAATTGTAGACCTTGGAGAAAAGCTTGGACGATACACATATTGAAATTGAATGAAAACTCAACTCTCTGTAATTATTTAGTTATCTTTTTGCAACTCTGTTTGTTAGTTCATTCTCTTTATGTTGGTTTGTTGACCCCAGATTTGACAAAGCACACAAAAAAGGCGGGTGCAGTGGATATTTTCCTTGGTTGCTTTTTGGCTATGGAACTGGTTAGTACCTTCTTGACACGTTTTTTTCCTTTTTTTCTTTTTAGTGTCATGTCAAGTGAACCTTCCTGGCCTGTTATAATTTTCATATTTCTTGTTGGATCATATACCATAACAGAGGATTAAGTAACTGTTTTTTTTTTTTTGGGGAAAGGATTAAGTGACTGTTAAATCACCATGAACCCAAAAACTTAACTTGAGAAGTTACAGTAAATTTAATCTTTTATTAATACTTTACACTACTCTCTTGTGGGCTTGAAAATTTGCACAAAGTCCAACACTCTTGTGGGCTTGAAAATTTGCACAAAGTCCAACAAGTGACTATCAATATTAATTGGAAAGGAACATACATTACAGGGTTCGAACACAAGACCTCATTTGATACCAGGTTGATTTTAGGAGAAAAAATATTTTCACATTTTTTGTTGAATTAAAATTACACATCCCTCCGGGGACATCCGATAAAATTGGAACGATACAGAGAAGATTAACATAGCCCCTACGCAAGGATGACCCGCACAAATTGACAAATGGTTGAATTAAGATTACACCTTACTAAAATACTAAAATACCAAAAGAAAAGAAAAGGCCAAAGAAAGTAAACTAATCTAATTAACCCTTGAACTCTAGGGATCAAAGAATATAATAAAAATGTTTAAAATAAATCTAACTTTCCAAATAAGTTATTTACAAGAATTTCCAACTTTGACTCTCATTTTCAACAATGGACTTGGGCTTTGGCACGATATTCGCTAATGAGACGGTATAGGCACAAAAGTCGTTATGCCATGATAGTGTGAAAGGATGGATGGTTATTATTGGAAATATGAACCTTGGATTGGTCTTGGTAGGTGTGTCCCACGAAGTAGTGAATCAAGATGACACCCAAATATCATGAACTATTCACAATGGCATTTTAATGAACAATGGGTACTCGTAGGCTATAAGCATGGTAAGCTAGTTTTGGCCCAATAAGAGGCAAGATTCATCATGATTGAAATAAATAGATGTGACAACATGTCCCATAGATCTTGGTCTAATTTAGAGGCAAGGTGTAGCCATGAGGCTTACCAGGATTGCACGTTAAGGGTAGTTTGCATTGCAGAGTGCAAGTCAAGTTGCACATGTAGTTGTCAATGTTCACTTGAGACTAAGTCAATGATGGGTAACGATACTCATGTTTGGGTTGTTTGAGTGAATGCTCAAGATGACATAATAATGCAAACATGAAGAAGTTCAACTGAGGATGAGAGGGCCTCATTTCATATTTCAAGAAGTAAAGACTCGCACATAGAATGTTAAGGTTAGAGTATTTGAAGAAGTAAAGACTTGCACATAAAATGTTAAGGTTAGAGTTAAAGCTAGCCAGAGATGTTGAGATTATGCCACTGCAAGGTTGAAATGAGTAGGACTGTTAGCAAGTAAATAGGAAGGAGAAGTAATTATAGAGCAACGATGAGCTAAGCACCCTATAGAGTAAATATAGTAATAGAAACACATCATATACACTAATCCCAAGTTAGTCTCCTTTATGAATCATTTTTAGGTGCTTATATGTTTACTAATCATGTGACACCCAAGAAGGAGGGGTATATGAATGAACCTACACTACAATCGAATGAGAAGGGTCATGTAAGCATGGTTAAGAAAGACTTAAAAGAATTGATAGTAATTACTTATACTGCACCTTCCTTTTCGACAATGTAAGCACTTCAAAGTTAAATGTGCTTGGCTTGAAGTAATCTTAGGTTGGGTGACCTCTTTAGGATTCCTAGAAAGCATATGAGTAAAGACAAAGCATGCTGAAAGAACCTGTTTTGGTCTGGGATAGTTTTCACTCTTCTAAGTAGCTTAGATTACGTAGATGGTGTAGCTAGGTCGCAAGAGAATGCTGGGGTAACTATATGTTGAATCTAGATTCTGAATCCTAGTTCAAATCCTGGACTTGGACTTAGGGCGTTACAGTCATGTTGGTCGTAGAATAATTGATACACTTAAAAGCTTTTCTATCTAGTAATCACCAAGACTTTCAAATCACTTATAGCACTTAGTACGTTATTGCCTATCCCAACAAGTATAAGTTCAATGTGGTTGAAGGCATGAATACAATTCTTGTTAGCCACTAACCTAAACTATTAATATCTTATTCAGTTCTTGTAGGATCAGCTAATTATCTCGTAGACTTAAGATTTCAAGGTTTGGTGGCATAAACCTATAATCACTATAACCATGAATGTGGGTTGTTGTCTTGTGGAATTAGTTGAGGTTTCTATACAATGGCTTAAACTCTCACCATGATTAAATAATGATGAATTTAGGAGTTTCATCCATGAGTTATAATTTATGGAAGCTTTCATCAATCATCATTATGCTTCCTAGAATATACTTGTTCTGATTGTTTATACCATTTACATTCCACATGAGATTTATGATCCAATAAAAAAGTTAGATTGGTATACTTCGATCACTGATTTTTTTTTTAGTTGACTTGAAATCTAGTTGTGTATATTTCTATAGTTCTTTGCCTTGCCTAATGATATTGGATCAACCTTTTACAGGTCTCTTCTTGACTTATTTGGGCTTATATCTTATGGATGGGCATGGTCAACCTGCACTTCTTTATCTTGTCCCATGCACCTTAGGTAACAAAGTTTTTATAAATTAGTAGTTCAAGCCTTGAAATCCCAATTGTGAACCAGATCTTGTTTTGTACCATTTTTCCACTAGATCACAAGATTCCATCTTTTTTATCCCATTTCTTAAATTTGCCACTTATCGAAGTCCTTTCCGGGTTGTTTCGACCTACTTGCAGGTGTTACTCTTGTTTTGGGTATGATCAGAGGTGAGCTTAAGCAACTTTGGGGTTATGGGGAGGAGCCCTTGCATAGGGATCCTTCTGGAGAAGCTTAAAGCTTTAGGTCCCTTCCAAATGCAACTCTGTAAAATAAGGTTTTTTCTTTCTGTGGTGAGAAAGGCACTTGTTACGATGTTAAGGGTGGTGTCTTCTTATAATTGTAACATCTTTTGCCTGTATTGTCAACACTTGATGTATCTAAGAGGAAATTCATTTCTATAATTTGATCAGTCTTCAAAACTCTGGATCCATGATCTTAAATTTACTTTACATGATTTAGATTTTGAAAAGAAAATGAAAAATACCAATTTTGAAATGTATAGTGTCGCCAACCCAAGTATAGGCCAACTAGTTAAGACATAAAGTAACTTCTGTAAATTTCGAATTTTCACCCCTCACTGTTTGATTAACTCAAAATGTACATCTTGTTGGGTACTTGTCATTTGTTATCATTTTTTACCACCTGGAAATACTTTATGTCCATGTAAGATTTTTGAGGGTCATTAAGTCGTTAACTGTGATACATAAATAAGGTTAAATTATAAGTTTAGTCTGTGAACTTTCAGGTTTGTGTCTATTAAGTCCTTGGACTTTAAAAGTATTTAATGTCTCTGAACTGTAAAAAGTATTGAATAGATCCTTAAAAAGAATGTCTCTGAATTGTAAAAAGTATCAAATAGATCCTTAAAAAAATGTCTCTATAAAAAGTATCGAATAGATCCTTAAAATAATGTCTTTGAACTGTAAAAAGTATTGAATAGATCCTTAAATTGCACCTCGACTAATCTTATCAGTCTCTACCTAACCCTACAACCTTTGGTATCGGGAAAATACAAGAATTAATTTTTATGGTATGTGGCCATCATGAAATTTGAATTAATTCCCTTTCAATTTATCCGGTCACTTTGATCCAAGAGTTACCAATGATGGTTAACATGCTTTAATTTTGGTTTTTGAGTGTTTTTTAGCTTGATTTGAGCTGTTTTGTTAGTTAATTAAGTTTTAGTTTGGGTGAATATTTCATTGCTCTTTTTATTACTACTAGTGAGTAACACATGTGACGTACGTGAAGTTTATCATTATATTTTACTAAATAAAAAATGCATCCACATGAATAGTAAGTAGTAAAAAGTTTAAAAAATATTTACAAAAATAACATAATTCAAATACCACTCAAATCCAAATATAATGTAAAGCACCATATATTTTATAATTTATACTTTACGTCATATTTTAATTATTTCAAATTTTTAAAATTTGATATTTTATTAAACAATAACAACAAATAGGAGAAACTACATAGAGCATAAATGTTTTGAAGAAAAATAGCGAATAAATTACAATAATCAAATCTCCAAAATTACAATTATTTACATTATAAAATAAAAGTTGAAGATAGATAAAACAATCTGACTAAAATATTTGATTAAAAAAACATAATTAAAGAGAAAAAGATAAAAGACGACTAAATTTTGGTAGGAAAAAAAATGGGGAGAGAGTAAGAAATAATCTTTATATAGTTCGAGGAGATAAAAGAGTGATAAAACTTTTCATATTAAAAAACTTTTGAAAATTTCCACTATTAACTATAATTAAAAATAACTCAGAATTTTTTTGGATTAATTTATAGAAATAAAGAGAAAAATTTCTCTTTTATGTTCTAACTTTTGGCAATAAAAATAATTAAACATAAATTAAAGGATAATTGAGATATTATTTAAAAAGTTAAAGGGTAGAGGAGATGTGGAGAGAGATTAAAAATAAAAATTTAATTAAAAAGATAAAATGGGGAGAGAGTTTCTTTCGTACCTTCTACATATGGTATAGATTTGGACCATACTTGTTAATTTTGTGATTAGCATTTGGGTGTTTTTGTAGGGTAAATTTTGTATAATTTATTGGTTTGAGTCCTAAATAATTTCTTTTTATTCTTGGTTAAACTAAGATATTTATTTCATTTAAAGTTAAAATTCAATAAACCAAGGACATGAATATAAATATTGAAAGGAATTTTATTTATTGGCATTTTTTTTTTTGCAAAAACATTACGTTTTATTTAATCATTTTCTCTATTTATTTTAGGTGTATAATTCAATTTATTTGTATGTTTGAATTTGAATTTGAGCTCTTAAATGCTTCAAACGACTAGTTATCTTTCTTGGAATGTTTTACAAATTGATTATATGAAAATTGTGTTTTAATTGTATCGAGAGATTTGTGGTTGAATTGGAATTGTGATAAATTCACTTTCCTTCTCGTGTCAATTTTTCTGGTCTATTTATTGTGTAGTCTTGGAACATATCAAGTAAGAAGTGTGGAGCAAATTTGTTTTATTCTCTCAAATTGTTCAAGCATTGTTTATGGTGTAAAATTTTGAGAGAGAATTTTTTATGTAATTTAATAAGTGCAATTCTGTGAGTTGTTTTTCTTTTGTGATATTTCTATCAACTATTGGAGAAGACACATCCATCATTGAAGGGAGTTCAAGCGGTGGACTACAACACAAGGGGAGCTTATGTTTGAAAAGATTCAATCGAAGGAGGAATCCATCAAGTATTGCGGCATGATTTAAAAAGGGAGTTATTTTATGCATAAGTCAATATTAATTGTAAATTGTACTGATTTTTTTATTGTTAATCTTATTCTCTGGGCGTGGCCTCGTGGAGTAGGTTGGGAAACCGAACCACGTTAAAAACGTGTCATCTCGCTTAATTGTTTTAATTTCTAAGATTCAAAAATTTTGAAACTTTAAAAATAGAATAATATTTTAGGAAGTTAGTTTAGATCTTTTAAATATAAACATGAAGCTTTTATGTTGAGGTTTTTCTAAAGGCTATATAGTTTTTTAGACAGTGTTTGAAAGTTAAAGAGATGAAAAAAAAAAATTAGGACAAGACAAAGACAAAGACAAGACACAAGACAATCCTTTCTTTCGTGCAAGACCTACTTCGCTCCCTTATAAGACTGTTCTACAATACAACTTTGCAACATTTTTAACATTTTTAACATGTGAAAACCTTTCAAAACATGTTTTTATTTTAGAGAGAGAAAATATAGAAACAATAAGTGCAGCCTCGAGATAGACATGTTCTATTTGGAAGAGAGAAACAATAGGTTTCGTCTTAACTTGAAGAGCGATAGAGAGGGCGATCTCTCTCTGGGGTAAAAATTCGAATTAGGAAAAAAAATATACAACGGATCTCTTTCACTCTCACAAGTAAAGATTTGAATCTACACCGATAAAAAAATGTCACCTTAACGAATTGAATGAACCACTTTACTTTAAATTGTTTTCTCCTGACTTATTCTAGGTAAACCTATGTTTTAAGAATATTTAAATTTATTTTTCCTTTATTCAAAATCATCGTAACATACAAGCTCATAAATAATATATTTTTTAGTACAACAAAATTTGGTAGATTCGAACTTCCGACCTTTAAAGAAATAAGTAATATAATCTTCACTGCCTAAACTATGTTTATTTCGGTTTTTAAATACCACACCTAGTTTTGCAACGAAGAAGTTGTTAATTTGATGTCAACAAATGATATAAGTATTGAATTAATTTCCATCACATAAGCAATTATTAAAGGTTCAAATAATATTTCATGAGAGATAAAGGACACATGCTAATAAACTAATTCTTATCATTAATATTTTCTTCTAATCATAACAACTAATTACAAAGTTGAGAAAATAATTATAATAATTTTATAAAGATACTATATACATGTSATAGGGAACATATCTCAATGGTAATTGATATATATGTCCAATCAAAAAGTTGTGAGTTCACACATGCATGCACGAAATTACTGTAATTTCACATTTATATTATCGATGAATAGTTCATTTAATTAATAAACAACTTCCTTTTAAAAATTATAGGTTACCGACAAGCAAAAACTACAAGTTAAAACGGAGAAATAAAGGTATTTGATTATTATTGTAGTTAAATCTATGATTCTTTTAAACACGTTAGAAATTGGCTTTACTTGTTCGAAGTATTGCTTTTTCCCAAAAAAAAAAAAAAATCTCGAAATATTGGTTTAGATTATTATTATTGATATGTTCTATAAAAGTCCCTTTTCTTTTAACATACATTCGATTTATTTTCTACCAACAAAAACTCATGCTCGAAAATAAATAAACATATATATTTTTTTTCATTTTCTGAACATATATATTTTTAGTCTAGTTCTATTTGGTCTTTAAATTGTAAGATCTTACACCTAGTTCTTAAAGGTTTAATAAATGCTCCATTTTTGTCTTTGACGTTAGTATTCTGTTAGTAATTAAGTTAACACAAAGATGACATGATAATTTTTTTTAATGAATTTAAATGTTGATGTTACAATTTTCTTTAGAATAAAAAAATCTCATTCCCCACCCTCTCTCGTTCGCTTCGTCGTCCTCATGTCACTTCCTGTCACGACCCAAATGAAACTATTATCCGAATTTTTAGAGACTACAAAGATAACTTTTTCAAAAAAGAAAAATCATATTACTTCAAAAATCTATTGACATACTATATAATATGAAATTAAAAGTTTAGGATGAAAATTAATTAACCTTACCAAGCTCACGTAGAAAGTGGATTTTTTTTCACTTCATTTTAGGAAAGTTAAGAAGGTAAACTATTAATTTTTAAGTATTAAATTACAATTTTAGTCTCAATTGCAATTTTGTGCCATATTTTTAGAAGTTGAACCACTCTCTACCATTATTGAGGTGGAACAGAAATTCAGCCTGACAAGTTCCTTTGTTAGATGTGATAGATAACATGACATGACATTCTAAAGAAACTGGTTTGGCAAGTGACATTTGATTGAAAGAATGAGAACGGAAAACAATCATATTTTGAAATGCAACTAAAAGTTCTCATCGTATTTTAGTGACTACGACGACAAACACTGTTAAGTATAATGGTACCCTTCGCACTCTAGATATCTCCACAATGATATGATATTATCCGTTTTGGACATAGTCCTCACGGCTTTACTCTTGGCTTTTAACACTCTCTTCTCTAAACTTTACTTGCACTCCTTACCCACCCAGCAGTAAGATCTCAAAATTTCCAATAAAAATTAATATCCTGTTATCAAAGCACACTTTTTATCAAAATTTTGGTGTTAGACATACTTCTTGATTCTAAGTATTTGCGACCACTATTTTAGTTTTGCCTTGTTTGGTAGCATGTGGAAGACTTTGAATGACAAGACAATATTGTGGAGACACCA